CGGCGCACGGGCCGGCTTCGCGTACGCCTAGACGTGCGTCACAGGGCGATGACGACTTGTGTTGGCGCTGGAGGCGGGGCCGGGAGGAGAGGGCGATGGGGCTGCCTGAGGAGGAAGAAGCGGGACGGAGGAGGAGGTGGCGGTGGCCCCGCTGCTGAGCGACTGGAGCGCGGTCCTCGTCGTACCCTGCCCCGACCAGGCGGGTAAGGAAAGGCCGGGGCCGCTCTGGGAAGGGAGCCGGGCCTCGAGTGGAGCCTCGGCCTCGGAGGAGTCCGGCCCAGGCGAGGGACGCCAGGGCCGCTCTTTTCTCCTCAGGGGCCTCTAGACTCTGGTCTGTGAGGGAAGAGGAGGAGGAGTCTGAGTTGCTTCTGGCCTCTTTCCCTTCACCTCCTCTGCCTGTGTGCCTTTTCTGTGGGGAAAATGGCCTCAAGCTACAGCTCAAACGCACTGCAGAAATAATCCAGTTTGAGACCGCTTTAACTGCCCTGGCTCAGTGCTAGGGAATTCTGGGAACTGTAGTTTTGTGAGACGTTTAGCTCTTCTCTGTCAGAGAGGTCTAGTGCCGAAGTAAACCTCAATTCCCATGATTCCCTAGCCCTGAGCCGAGACAGTTGAAGCGGCCTCAAACTGGATTATTTCTGAAGTGTGTTTTGGTCCATCGTCTCAATCAAAGGTGCTACAGGATCTCTTTCCATACTGGTATTCCGGACTGTGGTCCAAATCGCATTGCAGAAATTGTCTAGTCTTACACTGCTTTAACAGCCCCAGCTCAGTGCTAAGGAATCCTGGGAATTGTTAGTTTATTGGTGCACCAGAACACTCTAACAGAGAAAGGTAAACATTTTCACAAAACTACAGTGAAACTCCCTAGCACTGAGGCATCAGCAGTTAAAGTGGCTTCAAAGGTGGCTATGGCTGCATCCACACTGCAGAAATAACCCACTTTGATACCACTTTAACTCCCATGGCTCCTATCCTATTCAGTCCTGGGATTTGCAATTTGTTGTGGCACCAAAGGTCTCTTGACAGAGAAAGTTAATGCCTCACCAAACTACAGTTTCTAGCATTCAATAGCACTGACCCATTGGCAATTAAAGCGGTGTCAGAGCAGATTATTTCTGCAGTGTGGATGCAGCCTATGTTTCTTCTTCTTCTTCTTCCTCTTCTTCTTTTTCCTTTTATATTTCTATCCCACTCTTTCCCCAAAACTGGGACTCTGAGCGGCTTACAATTAAAAACATAAGAAAGTGCTGTGTTAAAAATAAAATTATTACAACATTAAAACATTGCATGTAAAAAGAATAAAATATAGTTAAAAAGATAAAACTCTTCAAAACACTTCAAAAAATATAACACCCCCAGCGTGTTCTTTAAAAACTTTCTGTTTTAAAAACCTTTTTAACAGGAAGGTCTTAGCTTGCTGGTGGAAGGACAGCAAAGAGGGCCGTTGTGGACCTGGGAAGGGAGTTCCACAGTCCTGGTTCAGCCACTGAGAAGGCCTTCTCTTGTGTCCCTGATGATCTCAGAGTCCAGGCCACTCATACATATGTTTCTAAGGTCATATATGTAACAGGTCGCTTTCCTCAAGCTGGTCCCTCAATTCAACTTTTTTGGGGAATGCTGCCACTTCATTTACCCTTAATCCTTTCCTGGACTGGGTAGTCGGGCTTCAGGATGTCTCCTTAAATGTGGGGCTGTGTTACTGTGGTGAGTTTCTGTTGATATGCCAGGCCAGACTCCTTATCAGTCTTCTTGGAGATAGCCAGAGATAGTTCTTACAAGTACAATACACTCATAGAATTGGAAGAGACCTCAAGGGCCATTCAGTCCAACCCCCCCCCCCCGCCATGCAGAAACACACAGTCAAAGCACCCTTGACAGATGACTATCCAGCTTCTGCTTAAAAACCTCCAAAGAAGGAGACTCCACCACACTTCAGGGGAGAGTGTTCCACTGTGGAACAGCTCTTACTGTCGGGAAGTTCTTAATATTTAGGTTTGCATCCATTGCTCCATGTCCTAGCCTCTAAAGCAGCATTAAACAAGCTTGCTCCTTCATCCATATGGTATCCTTTCAAATATCATGTCACCTCTTAACCTTCTCTTCTCCAAGCTAAACATACTCATCTCCTAAACTGCTTCTCATGTGGCATGGTTTCTAGACCTTTTACCATTTTGGTCACTCCCATTGGAAAGTTTCACTGAAACTCAGTAGAACAATATGTGATTTTTGGAATATTCTATTCTTTTTTGCTCCCTCAGAACCAGAGTAAGTTCTCCGTCCTGACTCTCTCTGAAATCACAACTCTGGCTGTTGCTACACAGCAGAATTAATGCACTTTGACACCTCTTTGACTGTTATGGGTCCATCTTACGAAATCCTGGGATTTGTAGCTTGTGACACTGGAGCTCTCTGACAGAGAAGACGAAATATATCACAAAACTACAGTTCTTGAAATTGCATAGCATTAAGCCATGACTGTTAAAAGAGCGTCAAACTGCATTAGTTTTGCAGTGTAGATGCAGCATAAATTTATATTTGATTTTTACCACAGGCTCCAATGGCTTTTGATACCTTACCTGTTTTTGAGCCAGTTCATAAACTTGC